TGAAGCCCTGAGCCCATTAGAATAATAGCCTTAACTGGAGAGAGGCTCAGTGGTTAAGAATAATAGTCTTAATAATACACGGTGCCCAACCACCTACGTGGTATTATCTTTATTTTTACATATGTACTTTTTATGCTTCTAGAACCCATGAGGCAGATGTGACAGTCAATTTGATAGATGAGGAAACTCAGTTGTAAAGAATACAGGGACTTGCCCAAGTCATGGTGTAAGCGGCAGAGCTGTTGAGCAGCCAGACTGAGTATGCATTATCTGTCCCTTTTATTTTCCTATGTGTTGTCATCTAGTAACACACCTGTGTCCCTTCCCCTGCCTCCTCCCCAGAGTGAATTCCCAGTCCTTACTTACAGCAGGATTCTGAGGTTGCAGGCAGGATTCCTGAGCCCCTCACATAGCAGCCTCACACCACGGTCACCCAAGTCATTCAGCTGCAGGTCTAGCTCAGTCAGGCTGGATCTGGACTGGAGTACAGGGGCCAGGTCCTCACAGTGTCTGGATGTGAGGCCACAGTTGACAAGCCTGCATGGAAGATGCTCACCATCAGCTCCTCCAGGGCTCACTGCTCTTGGGAACTGGCTCAGGTCTCCCTTTGTGAGCCTGGCACGCTGTGTTAGCAGTGCTCAGCTCTCTGGAGTGCCTTTTCTAGTCTGAGTAGATAATTCCATGCTTCCCACAGCTGAGCAGCAGGAGCAGTGGAGAACAGTGTGGGGACCACTACTCTGTGGTGCTGGTTGTGGCAGAGCTCCACCAGGCCCAGGACAGCTCTCTGGTCTATTTTAAGAGCCATCTGAAGTGACATTCACCAGCCATAGAATAGGACTTGATTTCCCTTGTCATGTGAAATATGAATAAATATGGAGTCCATGGAAACAGAGTAGAAGGTATTTACAAGGGTAGAGAGCAGGAGGAAATGGGGAGATGTTGTCCCTGGACCTGGAGCTTTCTTCCTTCCTGCTTCACTTAGCCTGTTCCTCTGTGTTCTTCAGTTCTCCTGTAGCCACTTCCTCAGGAAGTTTGCTCCACTTCATGGGCCTGTTGTTAGCAAAAGCTAGTGAGGTCCTTGCTGAATGTCAGTCTCTCATGAGCCCCAAGAACAGAGTCCATTTGTTTATCAAGTCTGTCATGGTTATGATCAAGAGGGTTTGGTGAATATGTGATGAATCCCAGAACTAGCTTTTACCTTTCTTCTCTTGCCATCCTTCCATGCTTCCAGGGACAACCCAGGCCAGACTCACCACAATGTCTTTAGGTGACATCTAGGGCATCTCAGGGTCCTACAAAGACTCTGCAGTGCAGAGTTGCTCAGTGGGTTTCCACTTAGGTCCAGCTCCTCTAGGCTTCCTGTGCACTCAAGCATGGAGAAGAGAATCTGCCAACTGGCATTAGTGATTGGGGTCCACCTGGACCTGAGGAGAGAGAGGGAGAGAGAGAGAAAGGGTATGATGAATGTGACTCATGTGTGCCCCATATAACAGATTAGATTTCTATTGCCTGAGTACCAGGACTCCATATGCCACCGCCAGGATTCACCAGCTTGTACATGCTCTTTTGCTCCAACATCTGGGTCCTCTTCTCTGGGTGGTTCCTCATCTACATCCTAATCATGGCATGCTGTGTGTTCATTTTGTGTATCTGTTTCTGAATCAGTCCAGGTGCCCCACAGGGTGTGAATTTTCTTTTTTAATCTACAGTACCCAGCACATAGTCCGGAATAATGAAAGACCTTGGTAATTCAAACAGCCTCGTCATTTTGATGTGAAGTAACTGTTTCCCTTTTGAACAAAATTCTAGAGTCTAAAAAGGAAAACTGAAAAAAAGAGATGGAAGAGAGCTCAGAAGAGAGGGTTGAGAGTGACTCTGTGGTGGGATGTTGAGCATGGCCATAAACACTACAGTGTTGGTTTATTTGTTCCCTATATCTTTCCAAGAGAGGTGGGAAGAAGATAGATAGATAGATAGATAGATAGACAGATAGGTAGATAGATAGATGGAGAGACAGAGATACACACAGATAAAGCATGATAGAGAGAAATTGACAGATATACAGAGAGATAAATTGACAGACATGGAGACACACAGAGTGAAACAGAAAGACAGAGATAGATAGATAAAGAGAGATAGAGAGAGAGAGAAAGAGAGAGAAAGAGAGAGAAAGAGAGAGAAAGAGAGAGAAAGAGAGAGAAAGATAGAGAGAGAGAGAGAGAGAGAGAGAGAGAGAGAGAGAGGAGAGAATGTATCACCATGTCTGGTAAGGCATTCGTTTAATGCCAGAAACCAAGTCTATAAAGGCAGGAGAACAGTGAATTTTAAATTAGCCTAAGCTTCAAACTGCAAGGTGGTTTGGAGTAGCTTTGAGTATGGTATATGCAGCATTTGATCTCTTACACTGTAAACAAAACAAGGTAACAAACTCAAAATACAACCACAAGTACCAAAACTGGGATTAGAGATGGCCAACTTTGAAACAAAAAGTATAGGATATTTTCTTTCAATTTTACAAAACTAAAGAATGACAAGGAAAACAAATACTAAACTTTGAAGGATGGTGTTTTTTAGACACTTTATTTGCTTTTTACTTCATGTGGTATGGTAGTTTGAATATAATTGGCCTCCATAATTTCATAGGGAGTGATAATTGTAGAAAGTGTGGCTTTGTTGGAGTGGGTGCAGCCTTGTTAGAGCAAGTGTGTCACGGGGGGGGGCAGGCGTTGGGGTCTATTTTGCTCAGGATACCACTGAGGATGTCTGTTGACTTCATGTGGCCTGCATATCAAGATGCAACCAGAACCATGCCTGCCTTCAAACTGCCATGTCCTACCATGATGATAATGGATGGAACCTCTTAACTGTAGGTGAGCCACCACAATTAAATGTTTGCTTTCAAAGAGTTGCCATGGTCATGGTGTCTCTTTACATCAGTAGAAACTCACTCACCTGCCATTTTTGATTTTTGACTTTGGGGAGCTTCCACCCCTGTTTGTTAGTGTGAAATGGCCTCCTTGCTAACATCCCTACCTTTACTTTCTCACTAGCAGTCAAAGCCTCATGCTCTCCATGGGGTTGCCCCCAAGCTCCCAAGGCCATTGTCCAGTCAAGCATGCTGGTGTTCCTTGTTTCTCTTTCCCTAACTGATCTCTGCCTCTGTGCAGACTCAGAATTCTTCTGAAACTCCACAGCAGACCACTTCTGCTCGCAACATCTGTATCAAGGCCCTTCAAGGATCACTTTTTATGACGGTTGACACTCAGAAACAACTTATACTGACCAAGAACAGGAATATGATCCACGTCACTAAGGTATTTGCCCTAGGCAATATTAGAAGGCTTTAGTAACCTGAGAAGACAGCCGATGCATTAAGAAAATAATCATGAATATAAGAAAACAGAGATTGTGCGGTTCAGTGTTCCCATATAGAAGTATATAGAGAATTTTTTCTTTTATGCTGTGGGTAAAACCTAGGGGTTTGAGCTTATTAGGTGTGGTGTTTTGAATTAGATGTCACCCAGTAATGGACATTTGAATGCTTGAGCCTCAAGTGGTGGCACTCTTTGGGGAGGCTTAGGAGGTGTGCCTTTGAGCGAGGAAATAAGTCACTGGGGCCTGGAGCCATTTCCCATACACTCTTTATAGTTTCTGCTTGTGGTTCAAGAATGAGCTCTCAGCCGCTGCTCCAGTCAACATCCCTTCCCTCTGCTATGATGAACCCTGATACCTCTGGACCGTAAGCCCAAATAAACTCTTCTATAAGTTGTGTTGGCTATGGTGTTTTATCACAGCAAAAGACAATTAGTCAATAATAATCATCTCTTCTTAGTCCCTGATACTTTGAGATCACATCATACTATGTAGCCAACGCTGGGACTTTTTCCTTGTCTCAGACATCTGAGTTTGGGAAGATAGGTGTGCATGACCAAGCGCAGCTACTCCAATTCTTAATGTTTTCCTCTCTGAGGAATGGAATTCTGGTTGACATAAATTTTTGTTTTGATGATTGGTATAGCCTCACTTTTCTACATCTAGCATGTTTTTATTAGTCCATCTAATCATATAAAACGAGAGTCATTGAGACAACTTCTTCAATGTGTGTGACATAGTTTGATCCTGTTTGTTCTCTTTGATCCCTTTCCCCTCCTCTCCTCATCCTCTTCCTGCTTTCTTACCTTCAGTCTGCTACTTTTAAGTTATTTATTTTTCACATGGGTTCTTTCAGTGTTCAGATTGGTGTCAAAGTCCACAAATCTGGATATCTGTTCCTACTTATTCAAGAGTCTATGTAATTAGAGTGGCTATGTGATTAGAGTGGTTGTCTCCTCTCCAACTTGTGAAAACCTCAGGGAAGCAACTGTGTTTCTCCTCTTGTGATTGATTGGCAGAGCCTGATATAAACTCAGTGTTTAATGAATCATCTAGAGAGGAGAGAGAGAGACATATATTGATACCGAGTCATCACTTCCACACAGTGGTAGGAGACCCTGGAAGGGGAGGTCTACATTGCTGCTGAGATTGGAGGGAAGTTAGTAAAACTTCAAGCTCAGTGACAGGGACATGCTGCCTTCATTGACACAGACAAGGAAGCCATCTGGCCAGGGAAAATATGCCCCTTGAGCTGATGGTGGGAAGACCTCAGGACCAAGGTCACTGTCATGCAGATAGGGGACAGTGCCTGCAGAAGCTGAATGAGCAGAGAGAATGCACAGAGAGAAATCACATTAAGAGAGATGATCAGTGACTGTGGGCTATTTGAATCTTGTGAGGTATGAAGAAAATTTGAATCAAAGCAGGTAGGTAGTCCTCACCAAGGTCTAGGAAGATATAACAGCTCATAGTCCCTTGCATAGTCAGGCACACAGAAACAAGTAGAAAAAGTTTGTCAGATTCAGAAGTTAAATGTCACTGATGACCTGTATCCTGCTGCCCTGGATCCAGCTATGAGTGCTGCTGATGCTCATAATAACATGTGTGCTCTTGGTATCCATAGATACTCACAGGACTGTCCCGGGGTCCTTCAAGATTTTTCTCTGCTGTCCACCTGCATTCATCTGAAGCCTCTTCACATGGTGGCAGAACTTAATGCAGAAAGTGACCACCATGAGGTCCATGTCTGTCTGGACCACCATGTACTTTACTCCTTTATGGGACGCTGGGTGTGCCATATCCACTGGGGCATGCAACCTTGTTCCTTGATAATCATGCATCACTTCTGTCAGGACCTCCTCATCCTGGATCTCATACAGACAATGGAGTAAACCCAGAGAATACGATTGATGGTGCAGGGTTTCATCCAGGATATACTGTTGCAGGTACAACCTTGCCTCCCAAGGCAAACTACAGGCAAAGATCTTCTTCATTTTTCTCATCCCATTTTGACTTAAAAGACCAAATAGAAAGCGCATAGTGGGTGCCTCAAACAGGTCATGTCTTCCATAGCCTTCCTTCAGTGTTTGCACAATACTGTAGAATTCCATATAAACACTTCTCCTGTCATTAAAACACAAGATGCAGGACATTGCTGCAAAGAACTCCTGGAGACACAAGTGGGCAAAGCTGTAGCACGGAGAACTGGGCTGCTTCTGAAGGATACCCATCTTCAAGAAAGTGGTAATGACATCTTTAGCTAACCCTTGCATCTGAAGATCTCTCTCACTGAACAAGGTCTTTCTTCTGCAGATGCCCTCTGCAGCCAGTGAGCAGAGCCTTCTGAGATGTGTCCCCAGGACATGACCCTGAAGAGTCTGGTAAATGTATTTCAGGCAGAGGGCTGTGGTGGTCTGTGAGGTCAGTGAGAGGTTTCTCCCCTGCTCCATCTGCTGCTTCAGGCAAGTGCAGACCAGCCAGGAATTTGAAAACAAATTTCAACCAGCCTAAAAACATCCATGGCGTCTCTTTTCTCTGTGAAATATTTGTAGATATATTCCTTCTGTCCAGACTCAGAGAAACCCAGGACTTCTACCAAACAAGGCTGCTTGAGAGAAGGAACGAGCTTCTTCAGATCTGTGGTCCGAGCTGTGAGCAACATGGAAGCCCCAGGAAGGACAGATTTCCCCAGCAAACTTCCCAGCAGTGTGTGCACTGGCTGTGGCTGGCTCCAGTGCAGACAGAGCTCAGGATTCTGCTCCTCCAGCACCCACGCTGGCTCATCTATGCCATCCAGGATGAAGAGCAGCTTCTCAGGGTGAGACAGGATCTTCCTGATGGGAGCTTCTTGCACAGCCTGGTCTTTTGCTATGAGCTCAGCCAGACTCAGCTGCTTGCACTGGGCCAGCTCTCTGCAGCTGAAGTAGAAGACCTGCTGGAAGCGATCCCTGTAGAGCTGGCCTTCCCCCCATGCTCTCCTCACCTGCCTGGCCAGCGCTGACTTCCCAATCCCAGCAGCTCCCTGTAATATGACTAATTGAGGCTCTTCCTGGGTATCTGGGCTTGGGTTAAATAAGTCTTGGATCTCAATCAGATATCATCTGTCCTCTCCTTTAGTTTCATGCATGCTTTTTCTGTTCAAGGTCTTCCAGCCTCTTGGGCAAGGTTTTAGTAAAAGTAATAGCTGTGTTAAATTCTGCAGGAAATCCTCCATTTTCCCTGACTCGTTGTGATAAAGATTCTCTCTTCCTTCATTGTGATGTATTTCTGAAAAAAATCATGAATTAGGGAAGAAAGATGGAGAATAAGTGAACTCATTAGTGTTCATTGTTCTTTCATTATTTTTTCCTTCCTTTCTTCCTTTCACCCTTGAACAATTGGATGAATTTAGGCATCTGTCTAAGCTGTACAACATACTGGCTGTGGGTGTTGGGATATTCTGAACAGTACAGTGCAAAGAATGTGAGCTTTAGAGTGGAAGAATCTAGTTCAAGTCTTCACTTGTCTAATAATAATAATAATAATAATAATGATAGTAATAATGCTGTATGATGCTCATTCACACTTCAGATATTGTTATTCTGTGCCAGCCTTTCTCTTGGGGTTGAGAATAAAGGGTAAGTTCACAAATGCAACAACTCTGTCCTCATGCATTCTATGGGATGATCAACTAGGTTCTCTGAGCTTTGGCTTTTCCATCTATAATTTCAGGTCTGTGGTCATGGAGGTCTTGGGGTGCTGGGGGAGATTACAGACAGTGGAGTCACTGTTTGCCTCTGACAGATGCCATTGGTCCCCACCATTGCTGTCCTGATAACACCATTCTGTAAGTCCTGAGATATTGGGTCTGAAGGGATGGTTTTGGGATGCCTTAGAGTTTCAAGACATAGACTTAGTACCCTGTACCCAAGCCTGGCAACCACAGGCATATTTTGTACTGTCTTTCAGATCTCATCAGTAGCAACAGACCTTGTGTGTGGCTACTGTCTGGATGTTTTAAGTGTCCTCTGAAACTCATGATAAAACTAGTGTTGAAACTCATTTGCCAGTGTAGCAGTATGGGGGATAGGGTCTAGTGTGGGTGTTTGAAGTCATGGGGGCAGGCTCCTTATCTTCTACACAATCCCTATAACTTTCCTAGGCCTCCTCATTTAGGGTGTCTGGATCAGTCCCATGCTGGCCTCTCAGCAATCAGTCTGAGGTCTATGAGCTCCTCTTTGTTCAGGACAACTGTTTGTGTGGGTTTCACCTGACTGGCCTTGACCCCTTTGCTCATCACTCCTCCCTCTCTGCAACTGGTTTCCAGGAGTTCAGTGCAGTATTTAGCTGTGGGTGTCTGCTTTTATTTTTTATTCTATGTGTTTGGGTGTTTTGCCTGTATGTATGTCTGTGTACCACATTTGTGCAATACCCTCAAAGGGCAGAAGATGGCGCCAGATTCCCTGGACCTGAACTTCCAAACAGTTGTGAGCTGACATGTGGGTGCTGGGAATTGAACAGATCTTCCTGAAGAATAGCCAGTGCTCTCAACTGCAAAGCCACCTTTTCAATACAGAGCTCAATGCGCTAGCTTCAGCAATAAGGCAAGAGGAGGAAATTAAATGGTAACAAATATGAAAAGAAGTAAAATTATGTCTGTTTATACATGCTGGCATTATACAAAAGAGATTGCAGGAATTCCACCAGAAGACTTCCTTAAATGATCACCAATTGCATCAAAGTGGAGGATAAAATAGTTAACCTAATAAAAATTAGTAGCCATTCTATCCATCACCAACAAAGAAAGAAATCATGAACACTTTTTCATTTACAATAACCTCAAAGAAAATAAAATATATAACATTAAGCCTAATTAAGAGGTTAAAGGCTTCTACAATTAAATCTTCAAATCCGCGAATAAATAGATTAAGGAAAACAGTAGAAAATGAAAAGCAGTCCCATACGTGTAGATTGGTAGAATATAGTGAAAAATGACCATTTTACCAAAAGCAATTTACAGATTCAATGCAATCACAATCAAAATGCTTACAAGGTCTGTTAGAAAAATTTAATCATTTTTCCTTTTTAAGAAAGATTACTTTATTTCATGTGTAGGAGTATTTTGCCTGCAAGTATGTGCATGTGTCATGCTTGTGCCTGGAGCCCACGGAGGTCAGAAGAAAACATCGAATCTGAAACTTGAGTTATAGATGGTTGTGAGCCACAGCATGAGTGCTGGGAACTAACCCTGGGTCCTTTGCAAGAACAATAAGCACCCTTAACTACAGAGCAATTTCTTTGCATCCACCATTCCCCCCCCCCTTTTGAGGTAGAGTATATATATAGCTCTGACTGTCCAGAAACTAACTATGTACAGCAGGTTGGTGATGAACTCTCAAAGATCTGCCTGCCTCTGCCTCCTGAGTACTGGGTTTACACACATGTGCCTCCATGCCTACTTTACCACATCACTCTTTACAGAAGCAGAAAAAATCCTGAAATTCATATGGAGCCACGGAAGACCCCAGATAGCCAAAGCAATCCTGAGCAAAACAATGATGGTGGGATTACCATTAGAAGTTTCAAGACTCATTCCAGTATTATAAATGAAATCATTACTTGCATCTAAATATATGCATATTTACACACATGTGCACACACATATTAATGAAGATATTCCATTTGGGATGATATTGTTTCATGAAAGCTGTAGGCTATCTAATATTACTTCTAGTAACAGATATTAGAAATCTTTTGAGCTTTAGTCTAGGGTATACAAGGATTTACCAAAACAATAGAGGCTATGGTTGTTGCCATTAGTTGTCTCTTAGAAGTTGAAGGTTAAATCTTTATTGCTGAAAACATCTCACATTTTGACAAAGGACTTGGAGGATTCAAGGTATATCTGATCCAGAGGCCTTCTTCCTGAGGACAAGCTTTCTTTGTTATGGAAGCTGCTATGTGAAGAGCCAAGGGTGGAAAGCAAAGTAGTTGTCCTTTACTGGCTAGTTCATTAATTCAACACAATCTAGAGTCATCAGAGACTAGGGAGTCTCAACTGAGAAGATGCCTCTATAATATTGGGTTGTGGGCAAGCCTGTGGGATATTCTCTTAATTAATTTTTGATGGGGGAGGACCCAGACCAAGGGGCATAGTGCCATCCCTGGGCTTGTTATCCTCAGGTGTATAAGAAAACAGGCTGAGCCTGGCAGTGGTGGTGCATGCCTTTAATCCCAGCACTTGGGAGGAAGAGGCAGGCATATCTATGTGAGTTCAAGGCCATCCTGCTCTACAGAGCAAGTGCCATAGGTTCCAAAGCTACACAGAGAAATCTTGTCTTGAAAAACCAAGAAGAAAGGAGAGAGAGACACACACACAGAGAAAGTCTGAGCAAGTCATGAGGAGCAAGTCAGTAAGCAGCATTCTTCTGAGGCTTCTGCATCAGTTCCTCCCTCGAGGTACCTGCCCTGCTTCAGTTCCTGTCATGACTTCCTTTGATGATGCACTGTGATGTGGAAGTTTAAGGTGAATAGCAACCCTCAAGTTTCTTTGGTCATGGTGTTTCATCACAGCGATAGCAACCCTATGAAACCTATGAACCATGATTGTCAGCAAGCAAGCATCTTTAAGATGCAATGATGGAACTTATATATAGGTGGTAGCCAATAGCTGCCTAATTGGACTTAAAGGTCACTCAAAAGGAGGGAAATAATGCCTTGTTCTGTAGACCTAGTCAAGTATCCTTGACTAGTGAGGTCATGGATCTTAGAGGAGATGCTACTATTGTCACTATTGTTACTAAACTTGTCTAATCCCTCACTGCATTCTAAATACTTCACAGATAACTACTCTACCACTCTCTGCCTTACTCCCTTAAGGCAAGTTTTCTCATGAAACCTAGGCATAGACTGGTAGCCAACAAGCTTTGGTGTTTCTCTTGTCACAGGATGATGGCCACACATGGATTTTTACAGGAGTGCTGGAGATTCAAACTTAGGTCTTCATGCTTCAGCATCATACCCTCTTATCCACAGAGCTCTTATCCATCATCAAGACTCTTCTTTTGCAGCAGTTGGAGACCATTACATAAACTCATAATGGGTTAAAATGCAGAGAATAGTTGACTCATGAGATAAACAAGTCAGAGGTGAGTGTGGGCTCTGCTTCGGCCCAACTCGAGCCATCCCCCTCTTGGAACTTCCTGGACCTGCTCTGCATGTTGTGGACCTGCCCAGGCAGGACATACCACCTGGAGTCTGGCCACACCTCTGTCTTGGCACCCCTCTGCCCTCACCCTCTGATTGTGCTGAGTGTGAGCTTTGCTGGGGTCCAATTTCCACCACTGCTCCCTTGGAAATTCATGGGCTTGCTCCGAGTGTAGTGGACCCACTCTGGCAGGATGAACCACCTGGAGTCTGGCCACACCTCACTCTTGGTCCCCCTCATCCCTCAGTCCTCTGCCCTCCACTTGAGTCTTGACCCCCCCTAAGCTCTATGCTTGAGTGAGGAGAACACCAGGAGAGGCCAGACCATCCAGAGTTGCCAACACTAAAGTCTTGGCCCACTGACACCACCGGGAGACCAGAGGAGAGGGAGAGAACCCACCTGCATCCACTCGAAGAAGGGATGGGAAGACAACAGTATAAGAACACATTCAACAACAGAAAGACCAACATGACACCACCAGAATCTAGGGACTCTACACCAGCACGACCTGAACATCCCAACACAGATGAAACAAAAGAAAGACCTTAAAAACCACTATATGAAGATGCTAGAGACCCTCAAAGAGGAAACGAGAGAATCCCTTAAAGAAATGGACGAAAAAACAAACAAAAATACAGGAAATGGAGGAAAAGACAAACCAAAAAATGCAAGAAATAAACAAATCTCTTAAAAATACAAAGAAAGCCAAAAGATAAATAAGTCCACTGACACATCTACAACATAACCCCTACACCTAGTGTTCTGGGAACATTGTGGAAGAGGAGTGAGAAAGATTGTAAGAGTCAGAAGACTAGAATTCTGCTGTAAGTTTGTGTCTAAAGATATGGCAGGTAAACAGACCCGTGAAATCCCAACAGTATGGCTGCTTAAAGAAGACATGACCAATGACCACAACAGTTGATATTCTGTTGTGGATGGGAGTATCTCACAGGCCCCATCCCTAGATGAAGAGCTGTGGTCACTTAGTGAGTGCAGAGAAGAAGCATTAGTCTTTCACAGGGATGATCCAGTATTAGGTGGTCTCCGGAATCCGTATAATCATATAAATACAAGTAACACTACATGCACTCAGAAGTTGCATGTAAATATTTATTTGAATATATACACATATATGTGTATATGTGCGACAATAATAATTAAAGAAAAAGAGGGTCATGAATTTGAGAGGGAGCAGGGTGGGACTACAAGAAAAAGTCATTCTAAGAAAATGAGACAGAGAAACACCTTTTTGCTTAAGTTTGGTTTTCCTTAGAAAATTTCCTACTCTAATTCCACTAATGAGTTTTGTTTTAATATTCTATTCTTATGACCAGGGGTCAAACTCTATTGAAACACACATACACACACACACACACACACACACACACACACACACACACAGAGAGAGAGAGAGAGAGAGAGAGAGAGAGAGAGAGAGAGAGAGAGAGAGAGAGAGAGAGAGAGAGAGAGAGAGATGTACCTAGCTCCATTTGGCCAATGTTTGTCACCTCAGCTGGCCGCTTGTTTTTGTAAGCTGAAAATAATAGAAATAATAGTTATGAGTGTAAACAGTCAGATAAAATCAGAAGAATATTTCATGTGAGGAAAGTATATGACATTCAAAATTTAGTGTTTAGTGTCAGAGGACTGACCATGCAGGAAAAGAAGAAATCTGAAGGTAGGGGGCTAACAGAACATGTATACCATGAAAGGAGGGAGGCCTTGTGGGCAGAGGAAGAGGCCAGGAAGAGAGGGAGGGCAGAGGACAGACAGCAAGAGAGAACAACAGTTGATGATGCATATATACTAAAATGCCACGGAGCCCATCTCTGGATGCTAATCAAAACAGTGAAAGAAATAGCATGGCATTGTAGCCACAGCAAAACACCAAAATAAAACAAATAGTAATGTCCATAAACAGAGCATGGAGCACAGTTGGATCAGAGCATGGCCATTTGCTGTTCTGTCCTCTGTGACGGCAGAGCTGGATGAGTGTGACAGAGACCCACAAATCCTACAATATTAGCCATCATGTCCTTTACTCAGAGTTTCCCAACTTTTCTCTTGATATGTCAAAGCATGCCATGTGGATTGAGCATTTACTATGAGGTTGTTGTTGGATTTACATTATTCAGGCTCTGAGATAAGACACCATATCAGGACTTAGAGTCAATGAAAAGTGCTTTCTCTTCAATTGTTCTTTCTCTGCTGTTGATAAAAGCTAATAGAGAACCCATTTCCCCATCACCCTGCCTGACAGAATCCTGTAATCCACTGAGCTGTTCAGTTACAGCAACTCTTTAGTCCTCATAGCTTCATACTTGCTATTTTCATTCCTAAGGTTACTGTATTTCACAGATGTTATTGCATTTGATTGCTTCTATCAGATACCTCAAGTTCTTCCTGTTTTTCTTCCTCCTTTTCTGTTCTGAATGGGGAGTGTTGGAACTGATGAAGTCAGTTGATGCCCTTTAAGCCTGAATCATATTTTTAAAAGATTTTTTTTGTTTAAATTAGAAACAAGCCTGCTCCACATGTTAATCCCAGCTCCTTCTCTCTCCCTTCCTCCCCCACACCCAACTGCCCTCTCAATCCCCCACCCAATCCCTACTCTGTTCCACAGGGAGGGTGAGGCCCTCCAAGGGGGATCTTTAGAGTCTGTCATTTCATTCAGGACCGGGCCTAGGCCCTCCCCCAAGAGTGCCTGGATCATATTTTAAGGCCCTGGATTGTACAAATTTATTGCAGGCTGGCCATTGAAGGAATGTTTTTCTCTGAGTGTAGCTTAGGTTTCAAGGTGTCATCTCCTAGCCAAGAGAGGCAGCATTGCTCAAGGTCAGGCCCTTGGCACTCAGAATCTGTGCATCTCTGGATTTGGTGCGACTGTCCTCATTGCCCTAATGTCAGAGAGAGAGAGAGATAGAGAGATAGAGAGAGAGAGAGAGATAGAGAGAGAGAGAGAGAGAGAGGAGAGGAGAGGGAGGGAGGGAAAGAGAGAGAGAGAGAGGCGCGTTAAGTGTATGAATCTTGACAGGGAAGGCTGAACTACATTCTTCACCTGTGAGCATCAAATTTCTAAACCTTGTTCTTGTAATCCCCAAGATGAAACTGTAGTAGTCTTCCTCTCAAGAGTGTGTGTGGGATTTAAGCACAAGTGAGATGCAAATGAAGGCCTGGACACAGAGCCCTGGACACATGTGAGTGGGTGCTCAGAAAACACCTGATGACCCTGTGACCAATGGGAAGTGAGTGATGAGGGATCCTGTGCTAATGGATTCTCCTGCCTGTCAGTTCCCTGCCCAAAGAGCCAGCTGAGTTCTTGTGCTGGAAAAGACACTGCCCATAATTCGAAGGTCCTCCTGGAAGCAGTCCTGAGCTCAACAGCGAGAATCCAGGGGCAGGATCTCTAGGCTGCTCTCTAGGGCTCTCCAGGTCCAGGGTGCTATGCTGATACTTTGTCCCAAGGGACTGAATTTTTGCTTCACTGTAAGAAGCGCATATCACCTGATCAGTGAGATTAGACTTTCAGTTGGAGGCCACCTCATCCCAGGAGCTTCCTGATTGCTGTGCTATGAGTTGGAATGGGGTTTCCCAACCCTCAGACACCCACTCTGATGTTGGAAGATTGGATGTGGTTGGAAAAGTTTGTTGAAGGTGTGAGTGGGCTCCCTCAGTGAGAAATGACAGTGGGGCTCTGTCAGTGAGAAACTACAGGAAGGAACAGCCAGTTGCCCAATACCCACTGTGATTCAGACTCTTACATTTTGCCCTCTCACTATGATCCTGTGAGATGGCATGAAGGCTAGTATTGTAAATGCCACAGAAACAAAGCGCCTAGCAGAAGTGTCCCTGGGAGGATGTGTGAGGGTAAGTGAGATCAAGTGAGGTGGGAAGGTTCACCCTAACTGTAGGTGGCACCATGCCAAGGGCTGGAGCCCTGAAGAAATAAAAAGGAAGAGTGAGCAGAGAAACAATACTCATCTCTTTCTGTTTCATAATTAAACACAGTGGGACAGATGTTTCAGTCCCTTGTTACTGAATTTCATTCATAAAATAGTAGATTCTCAATCTGTGGACAAAATGAACCCTTTGTATTTTAAATTGTTTTTGTCACACTAACATGGCAATTAATTAATACCCCAGGGTTAATAACTTTTAATGGAATTCATTTTGCAGTTTAGGTTGTTCTGGACCTCAGGCTCCTACAGTGTAATGTTCGGTAGGAAGACTGGACTTTGAAGGGAGAGACAAGACCCAGGAGAAGGCAGGATTTTCACAGAGCAGCCAAGGTTGAATGAGGAAGAAATCATTTCTCAGGCTCCCATTGTACTAGATTCCAGTCCTGCATCTGTGTCTATGTGCTGTGAGTTAGGAGAAGTTAGTTAACCCCTTTCTCTAGACCCTTGTGCAAAGGGGAACAGGGGCTACATTGATGCCTGAGAGGAGAACGAGGCAAGGTGTGGCCCGAGTATGCTGAGTAAGGAATTCAGCAGACGAAACTGTCTGAAGCTGAGGCAGGGGCCTGCCCTCTTCATAGGGTCCTTCTCAAGGGAAGAGGCCTTCTTGAAACTCCAGGAGCTGCATGGCCCTGGGATTTCAGAACCCACACACACTTTGAGTTTAATTGTGAGTGACATCTGGGCTAGGCTCACTGCTGACTACCATGGGTTTCCAGTGTCTTCATGTGTCAATTTCAAGTTCAGCACTGCAGAGCGCAGAGGGATCATTTCTAGCCTGTGCCTCTTAGCATTGCATCATGGCTCCGTTTACCTTCTGCTTTAGTTGCCTGTCCCAGGTACCTGAATAGGTGGAGACTCACCTGTGAAGAACCACCACCTATGTTGACTAGAAGTCACATTTCCAGCTGCCAGCACAGATACAATTGGTTCTGAACCAGACTAATAGATGTTCCAATTTAACAAGCCCCTTACCTGACATCAGAATGTCTCTCAGATATCCGAGGCTGGAGCCCATTCGTTGTAAGGCACCTTGGAAGGGAGTGAGATTCATGTAAGGTGTGACTGTTGAGCCTAAAAGTTGAAGAAATGGGAAGGGACAATGGTTATGTGATTGTCAGAGAACCAGCAGTAGGAGTCAGGGTAGGAAGGCTGGAGTCCTACCTGCTTACCCTCATACCCTTCTCTACTCTCTCATAGATGTTCTCTTATTTACACCTGCTGCAGGGACATGTTCCTGCCCTGGGATTATGAAGTTCACACACCTATGCTGGTCTACTCTAGTCCTCTTTGTGAGTCTCCATTCTTCTCTGAGCTTCAGCCCCTTCCCAGTGGGTTTCTGAGTTAATAGATGAGAGGGCCAGGTGGGATGTTATTGTGTAGTTCGTGCTTGCCTCCAGCTCGGATTCTTCCTGCATTAAATTCATATGTTCTGGGATTATATGAATATGTCCATGACCAGTTAGTAGTCTTATTTTTGAAGCCATACAATTTTTCTTATTGCTTGATCTGAAGCTTCAAGTTACATATAATGTCCATCAGATAGAATGACTCTGAGAAGGTTCTTCTTGACCCAGGTACACATTTCAATTAATAGCTGATAGTTACTAAGTAGCATCCTAGGGAGGGAGGTGAGAGTCTTTAAAACACAGTTGATACACAATGAAATTTGAACATGGAATTTTGTGATGGCATGGAAGTGTTTCAACAGAACAACTTGGAATCTGGGAATAGTGAGGACAAAATGAGGGGAGGAAACTGGTGTTAGCAAAGGAGGATCCTCTGTGAGAGAGACATGAACATGAGGAGGACTCAGTGGAACTCACTGGGGTCAGCCACTCAGCTGCATAGCTATCTATGGTGAAGTTAGTAAAGACAGGTATATAGAAAGGTAAGCTCCCAGAGAATAGATAGATGGGATGATTTATGTTAAGAAAAGCTGGCTGGACACAAGCCATGCTAAGGTCATGCTTTCATAAGTCAGAATGAGATTCTGGATTTATTTGGGATCTGGATGGCAGGCCTCTCAAAGAGCCAAACAATCAATAAATAACCTATAACAGAGATTCTGACAAATTTCTTGGTGTCTGAAGCACACATTTCCCGTAATTACGGATGTGAGTAAGTCACATCCTTGGGAGGAAAGTGAGAGTCTTTAAAACATAGTTTTGTATCACAATGAAATGTAATAATGGAAGTTGAGGATGGTGTGCAATTGTTTTGAATGGAACAACAGGGAAGTGTGTGAGACACATGTAATCCCTTTTCCAGTGTCCTTAGTTATAATGGATTTATTCCTGTCACACAAAGTACAATCAGTGTGGCCATCAAAACAATGAACTTTGCTTATATAGTCAACATTTTTAAAGCTTGATGTGGGCAAAAAGAATGAACTTGGACATTGAAGACAAGGATTAGAGAGGACTTTCACATTTCAGCAGGAGGTTGAAAGAAATATCTCTGATTTGGCATGCACTGAGTGTTCTAGATTCCAGTCCTGCTATGAGTATGGACAACTAATCTCTCTCTCTAGACCTTGTGCACTGGAGAGAGGTGGATCCTTTGTTCCTTAAGAAGAGGAAGAGGCAAGGGTGTGTGCTGTAGCACAATATCTTTGTATACTGTGACAATGTGTCTTTGTGAAGGTGTTTTCTAGTTGGTTTAATAAAAAGCTGAATGGCCAATAGCTTGGATAGAAGAAGTTAAGTGGGACTTCAGGACAGAGAAGAAGAAGAAGACATGAATCTAGGTGAGGAGAGATGCCAGAGGATACAGGGACCAAATAGGAGGTGCATAATGGAAGAGGGGTAAACAGTCATGAGGTAAAATATAGATTGATATAAATGTGTCAATTTAAGTTATAAGATCAGTAGGCATAAAAAGTGGGCTGCAGAACTAAATAGAGAGTTTTCAATAGAGGAGTCTAAAATGGCTGAGAGGCACTTGAGAAAGTGCTCAACATCCTTAGCCATCAGGGAAATGCAAATCAAAACAACTCTGAGATACCATCTCACTCCTGTCAGAATGGCTAAAATCAAAAACACCAATGACAATTTATGCTGGAGAGGATATGGTGAAAGGGGAACACTCCTCCATTGCTGGTGGAAGTGCCAACTGGTTCAGCCACTTTGGAAATCAGTATGGAGATTCCTCAGAAAAATGGGAATAAACCTACCACAAGACCCAGCAACTCCACTCTTAGGCATATACCCAAAAGATGCCCATTCATACAACAAAGATGTCTGTTCCACTATGTTCATAGCAGCTTTATTTGTAATAGCCAGAACTTGGAAGCAACCTAGATGTCCCTCACCCGAAGAGTGGATAGAGAAAATGTGGTACATCTACACAATGGAGTACTATTCAGCAGAAAAAAATAATGGAATCATGAGATTCGCAGGCAAATGGATGACACTAGAAGAAACCATCCTGAGTGAGGTAACCCAGTCACAAAAAGAGAAACATGATATGTACTCTCTCATATATGGATTTTAGACATAGATCTGGGGAGTGCCAGCCTACAATCCTATGACCAGAGAGTCTGGGAAACAGAAACTTCATTTAGTGGCTGATTGAAGAAGAGGCAGACTCCCTTGGTTAAGTACTGAGCTGAACTCAAGAAAGCCAGTAACAGAGAGGGAGGACTGATGATCAAAGGGATTAAGACTGGGCTGGTTTAACCCCCAGAAACAGCTGACCAGACAAAGGTTAACTCTTGAATCCCAGGCATCAGCCTGGGAATCCAGCATGGGACTGATCAATACCCCCTGAATTTGGGTGTCAGTGAGGAGGCCTAGGGAATCTATTGAGCCTTGGGCAGCAAATCAGTACCCATCCCAAGTATACACACGGACTTTGGACTCTCATAGAACAATGTGAGGTGCACTCTCACCCTGAACTCTTGGGGAAGGGTCTAGGCCCTGCCCTATATGAAATGACAGACTATGGACACCCCCATGGAGGGCCTCACCTTCCCTGGGGGAATGAGGGGATAACGGGGGGGGGGTTGGGGGGAGGGCACGGGAGGAGGGGAGGGAATGGGAGAGGGACCTGGAACTGACTTGTGAAGCAACCTCATTTCTTATCTAAATTTAAACTGGAAAATAAAAAAAAAGCTCAGTAGGCAAGCCTAAGTGTTAGGCTAAGCTTTTGTAATTAATAATATGATACCATGTCTTTTTTTTCTTGTGAGCTCCAGGCCAAAAGAAATATCTGTCTATAGGTGTACCCTGTGTAAGTGAGAATGGAATAAGGGAGTCACTAGAAGAAAATGACTGAAGCTGAGGCAGGAGCGTACCCACTTCTCAGGATCCATGTCAGGAAAAGAAACCTTGGATTTCCAGGACACCCAAGACTCCTTCCCTGTATCTTCAGTGCCCACTCATACTTGGAGCTGAATTCTGGGTGCCAGTTCGTCTAGGCTCACCATGCTGACACTCATGGTTTCCAGTTTCTCTTTGTGACAAATTCGACTTTTGCATTGCATTGCCCAGAGGGAACATTTCTAGTCTGTGACTCTGAACCTTCCTCCATGGCTTCTCTGCTTTTATTTAAGTCCCTTATTCGGGTTCCCATACTGGTGGGGACCTGTATGTTGTAAACAACCACTACCTAAGTGAACTTTAAGTTCCTTTCACACCTCCAATTTCTGTTCATCTTTATTTCTGCACCACAGACTGCTCGAGTTCCCACTTTACATGTTTTTTTTTCAATCCGTGAGTGACTTGAGATTCAAGGTCTAAACCCAGTAGTTCTGGTGAGAAGATCTGGCTAAGGAATTCCATGTTAAGACCCCTGCCCCTCTACCATAGCCTGAAATGAGGAAGAATGGGCTCTGGGGATGAAACAGTTATGTGGTTGTCAGAGAGGCAGAGGTAGGGGTCAGGAGAGCAAGCCTGGCGTCCTTCCTGTATACCCTCACAGCCTTCTTCACAGTCACTTGGGAAGAATGATGCTCTCAGAGTTCCTGCTGTGAAATGGTCCTGCTCTGGGACCATGGAGCTCACACATCTGTTCTGTCTCTACACTAGTCCTTGGTGGGAGTCTCTAGTCTTCTCTGTGAGCCTCAGATCCCTCATATGGGACTCTGAGCTTCTGTCCCACAGGGTTGCAAACAACAATGATAACAGCAGCAGCATTTGCATGGACTTGAACTTAAAGCACTGGAACATTAATTGAATATTGTGCTGCTTCATATTCAATGTGGATTATCACTTTACTACCACAGCCCAAGGAAACAGGTTTTTACCCTCTTCTTGTTTCCCAGATGGAGACTTAGAGGCTGAGGTCTCTAAAGTGACTTGTCAAAGTGGCATTGCCATGCCTGGAGTCTGCCTCTGCCCAGCTCGAAAGGCTGACCTTGTAACTCAAGTGTTACCAAACCCTTCTTTTGGGAGCTGGTTTGAACCCTGTGCTCACCCGTCTTAGAGCCATTCTGAATGCCAGTCTCACCCTACTTCTGCATCTTCAGAGTGCTCCTCCCCAGGGCCCTGAGGATGCACTCCCATTGAAGATGGTGGGGCACTAAGGTTCACTTAGGTGTTTCTATATGTCTCCTGAGTCCAGACTCTCCTGGAACTGTGAATGTTTCTGCCAGAGGTTCTCCTGCTATGGAAACATTGCCAGGAGAACTCAGTGGTGATGAAGTGGTCACAGTAGTTGTGGGTTGGGGTCCTTGGTGTACTTACTTAGCATCAATTCCTTCTCTGCCTCAGATTTGATCTCCTGCAGCTCCAGGTCCATCTGCTTCCTCTTGTCATGGGTGGGGTCCAAGACCTGTTGACCCTTATGCTGAGCCTCCTCAGTACCACCCACCTTCTTGGGCTGAGCTTCTTCCGTGGTGACAGAGCCCTCAGACGATGCTTGGCTGTGCAGCTCGCACTGGTCCTGCTTCACTTCTCCCTTCTGTTGCTGCTCCAAACAGGAGGCCAGGGCATTCTTGTCTCTGATGGCCGTTTCTGCTCTGGGAAAGGATGTTTGATCAAGACTGATGGAGGAGAGTTGGAAATAAAAGAAAGTGCAGAGCAGCATCTACAGGGACAGAATGTCTTCTGATCAGAACCCCTGAAGGACTCCAGTCTCTCCTGGGGATGGAGACTGTGTGTCCAGGTGAAGGGGCTTGGTCTTTATAGGTCAGAAGAGGGAACTCTGGGAGGAAGGTTTATCAGTGGATGTGTTCTTTATAGTTTCACGAATGATGCCAATGGATGCTCTCTTCTTTGCTGGCTTTCCTGTCAATCATGTTTAGTGTGGAGAGGGGGGCACTCAGGTTGTTTCTTACTTTAGTTCATTAAGTTCATTTATTTGACTCTGAGGACCAATAAAAAGAAGGGGCATTTAGCCCCCCATTGTCTGCTTCCTGCAGGAGTGAGATAATGGAGATAGGGCTAGGCTCTGTCCCTAGGATTTAATTGGGCAAAGGTTGGGTTGACTTCATGAGCCAGGTAAGGAGTTTTAACTTGTTCTACCACAATGGATTCTGTGATTGCTACTATTTTCTCCTGGGGGAGCCTTTGTAAACAGTTAATAGACAGGGCTACAATTAGTAAGATGAGACTGAAGACAGGGGAACCAATCAGTCCCTATTCAGGGTAGTCATTGTCCTCATGTGGACCTGTGATAGCTGTAATTTGATCCAGTAGGAACTTGTGTAAAAGTTTTAAAGGACAGGGTAAAAAATGACAAATAAAGATAAAGAGGAGTGGACAGATCTAGGGGAGGAGACAAAGTGGAGGGAAGGAAAGCCCATCCTTAGGAAGATGACTGTCACTGAATCATTGTCTGGTCCTTAGTTAAGTCTTTGGCCCTCTCGACCAGCTTGGGTTTGTTGGTGCAGAAGCAGCCCTGCCCTGTTCCTGGATGAGGGCACAGATCCCACCACTAGCAGCCGATAGGAAACCTATGCCTCTTTAACTTTGAGAACCACAGCAGCAAACACGTGGCTCAGGCCTTGCCATGAAAAGTGATGGAGAGGGAGGAGTGGGAAAGTGGGCATCTGGAGAATGGAGGGTGGGGAGATGGAGGGATGGGAAAGTAAGAAGATGGAAGGATGCAGGACATGGAGCAGGATATCAGGGAGGATTAGAGGATGCTAATCAAGGACAAGGATTGTGGATGGAGGAAAGGGATGTTGGGATTACAGGGACAGGAGCATGAGAGGAAAGGATGACAGGGATGCAGGATACAGGGACGGAATGTGCAGGACACTCACTACTCCATGTTCCTCATCCTCCTCCTTTTCTAGTGTCCCACTCTAAGGAGATAAAGCCTTCAGCCATCACTGTGGCAGTGGGGAGAGGTAGCATAGAGTGTGACTCAAGAGCCCATATTAAGTTCAGGCTAGGCCTTGTGAAGGAATCTTTAGAAGTCTCCTATCCTTGTTTACCACACAGGTACCAATCCAGAGACAGCTAAGCTAAAGGAAACATTACTCAAAGAAAACCAAAGAGCCACAGGGACAAGTGTGGGGGGTTAAACTCACTCAAGACTTTCCCAGAGGTCACAATGAGATAACAAATAGAGCATTAGTTCTGTGTCTTTGTCCAGGAATGAACTTGATGAGGCTATCTGACACTGGAGCTAGTGCCTGGGGAGGAATAAAGTTCCAGTTTCTGGGGTCCTGGCTCTTTTCCCTGTGCTGTGGTTATTAGTCCTAAGACAGTTGTGATGGGAGATGTCATTCTGTAAATCTGTCTCTCTTATTGGTTCCTGAATAAAGCACTGTTGGCTAATAGGGAAGCAAGATAGGTGGGACTAGGAGTCAAGGAGGATTCTGGGAAAGAGAGGCAGAGTTAGACATAATGTAGGCCACCAGAGGAGTAAGAGGTCCGGACCTTTTTCTCCAGTAAGAGAAATACCTAGATTAGCAATTATGGGTTAATTACTTAAGTCAGAGCTAGCCATTAAGAAACAAGCAAATGGCCAACAGCTCTATGATTAATATAGTGTCCTGTGTGTTATTTGGGGGCTAAAGCAGCAATGGGATCCAGGCAGGATCCCACAACACAGCTATGTCTGAGGAATCCTGTGTTATCTTTGCACATTCTCTGACTAGGTCTCTGTTGTCCCCCACTGTCCTTAAAATAGCATATATGATGCTGTACTTCCCAGTAAACATGCTTGGCCTAAGTAGTCAGCTCATGCAAGACTTTTTGCTCTCAGCTGCACATGGGCAGTTCAATCGAATTCAAGCCAACTCAACGCTCTGTGGGATTTCCCTCTACATTCAACCTTGGCAGAGAAGCTTCTGTCTGCAGTGGGTCATAATTAATATAGAGACTCACAGTCAAAATGCTGATTAGGCATCAGTTGAGTGCTTGGCTCTAAGTGGGATATCTAAGTGGGGTCATGAAGGCTCTGGGAACATTGTAAAACTGGTGGAAGAAAGAATGAAAGAGCTGGAGGACAGGAAAGAGTGCTGTAAGATGTTGTGCTCATGCACTCACTATAGACAAAGCCACTTGGGCATGACTTGCACAACCCAGCAAAGTCAATCATTAGTCTATCAGGCAGTACTAATTGAATTCAGAGGTTATAAAACAACAAGGAAAACCAAACAAATCAACAACAACAACAACAACAACAAACAAAAAGCAGAAAGCACATGAAAATGGGAGCCAGGGGTTGGGAGGGTGTCTTGGGGAAACCAGTAGAAGGGATTTGGGAGTGAATATTATCAAGCTACAGTGTATAAAGACATGAAGATCTAAAACAAACAAACAAATATATAAATATATAAATAAATGTATTCTAGACCTGTATTCCCAGCCACAGCACCCATCCACTTGCTCACTCCATAGCTGCTTGCCAGGGATGCTGATCTTCTAGACACCCTCCCTCTCCAGGGGACCACTATGAATGTATTAACTTATCCTGGTGGTCTGGGGACATAAATATTCCATCTGTACTCTCTGGAGTACTGCCCTCCCAATACTGATAGGTCTGTAGTTGCTTCCCAGGGACCATGACCTCTTCCTAGTACCTCTTCCTTCCTTTGGAACTCTTTAGATCACAGACCCTTCTCCACCAGGAACCCTATAGCCCAGTCATGTGCCACAGAGCCGCAGATATGCTACATGCTGTTGTTGATATCATTTTAAGATGCCTTACATTTGTTTATGCTGTTTATGGAAAATAGCAAGGCGAAAGGATAGGTGAGGTTGGCAGGCAGAAAGAATAAATAGGAGGAGTATCTGGGAGAAAAAGATTGAAGCGTGAGAGAAGGAGGAGGACTCAAGGGGTCAGCCACCAAGCTATATAGCCAGCAACACAGTAAGAAAGAAAAATATACAAAAATAGAAAAAGGTGAAAACGTAGAGGCAAAATTGGATGGGTTAATTTAAATTAAGAAAACCTTGCAAGAAATAAGCTAAGCTAAGACCAGGCATTCATAGAAAGTATAAGCCTCTATGTGTGATTTACTTGAGAGCTGAGTGGTTCCCAAAGAGCCAAAGATTGAAATAAATAAACAAAAAACCAGTTACAACATGTGTTGTCCCCAGAACAGCCATCCTGGCAACTCTCATCCACCCATGGCTGCTTATACCACATTATCCTTCAGGTCCATTTTGGCTCACAGACCCTGTTGTTAGGTCTAGCCTAATGAGTTTGTCTAAATCTGCTTCATCTGCACCCTTCCCAATGCCCAGACCTGGCCCCAGGCCAGGCTGAGAAGGTCCACCTGCGCCCTTCCTAAGCCCAGGTTGAGGCAGGGTGGAACATCCTGTGTATAAGCCCAATGTTCTGTGTCCATATTAGAAACAGAACCATGAAAAAGATCCCATATACCCAGGTGTCATTGCAACAACGAGATGAAAGATCAAGACAGTATTTGACCCTTCCAATTCAACAGTCTCACAGACATGTTCTCCAGTGATAATAACTTTGATGAAACCTAGGATCAAGAATTTAGTTGAACAATCATAAACCTGGGATGTGACTGTAAAAGTTTGGTGAAGGTGTGAGTGGGGCTCTGTAAGTGAGAAACTACAGGAAGGAACAGCCAGTTGCCCAATACCCACTGTGATTCAGACTCTTACATTTTGCCCTCTTACTATGATCCTGTGAGATGGCATGAAGGCTAGTATTGTAAACGCCACAGAAACAAAGCGCCTAGAAGAAGTGTCCCTGGGAGGATGTGTGAGGGTAAGTGAGATCAAATGAGGTGGGAAGGTTCACCCTAACTGTAGATGGCACCATGCCAAGGGCTGGAGTCCTGAACAAATAAAAAGGAAGAGTGAGCAGAGAAACAATACTCATCTCTTTGTGTTTCACAATTAAACACAGCGGGACAGATGTTTCAGTCCCTTGTAGTTATGGAATTTCAGCCATAGAAGACTAGATTCTCAATCTGTGGACAAAATGAACCCTTTGTATTTTAAATTGCTTTTGTCACACTAACATGGCAATTAATTAATACCCCAGGGTTAATAAATTTTAGTGGAATTCATTTTGCAGTTTAGGTTGTTCTGGACCTCAGGCTCCTACAGTGTAATGTTTGGTAGGAAGACTGGACTTTGAAGGGAGAGACAAGACCCAGGAGAAGGCAGGATTTTCAGAGAGCAGCCAAAGTTGAATGAGGAAGAAATCATTTCTCAGGCTCCCATTGTACTAGATCCCAGTCCTGCATCTGTGTCTATGTGCTGTGAGCCAGGGGAAGTTAGTTAACCCCTTTCTCTAGACCCTTGTGCAATGGGGAGCAGGGGCTACATTGATGCCTGAGAGGAGAACGAGGCAAGGTGTGGCCCGAGTATGCTGAGTAAGGAATTCAGCAGACGAAACTGTCTGAAGCTGAGGCAGGGGCCTGCCCTCTTCATAGGGTCCTTCTCAAGGGAAGAGGCCTTCTTGAAACTCCAGGAGCTGCATGGCCCTGGGATTTCAGAACCCACACACACTTTGAGTTTAATTGTGAGTGACATCTGGGCTAGGCTCACTGCTGACTACCATGGGTTTCCAGTGTCTTCATGTGTCAATTTCAAGTTCAGCACTGCAGAGCGCAGAGGGATCATTTCTAGCCTGTGCCTCTTAGCATTGCATCATGGCTCCGTTTATCTTCTGCTTTAGTTGCCTGTCCCATGTCCCCAAAAAGGTGGAGACTCACCTGTGAAGAACCACCACCTATGTTGACTAGAAGTCACATTTCCAGCGGCCAGCACAGATACATTTGGATCTGAACCTGACTAATCAGTTTCCCATTTAACAAACCCCTTCCTTACCTGATATCAGAAGGTCTTAGTTTTCCAAACCTTTTTGTTTTAAAGACAAATTGGCGTGTAGTGGTACCCATGCAAGGTATCATCAATCCTGGGCCTATAAGTTGAAGAAAGGGACATGGGAAGGGACAATGGTTATGTGATTGTCAGAGAACCAGCAGTAGGAGTCAGGGTAGGAAGGCTGGAGTCCTACCTGCTTACCCTCATACCCTTCTCTACTCTCTCATAGATGTTCTCTTATTTACACCTGCTGCAGGGACATGTTCCTGCCCTGGGATTATGAAGTTCACACACCTATGCTGGTCTACTCTAGTCCTCTTTGTGAGTCTCCATTCTTCTTTGAGTTTCAGGCCTCCCACCAATGGGTTTCTGAGTTTCTATCCCGGAAGGCCAGGTGGGATCTTATTGTGTAGTTTGCCTCCAGCTCAGATTCATTCTGCATTAATTTCATACATTATGGGATTATAGGAATATGTCCATGACTAGTTAGCATTCTTTTTTTTTGAAGCCACACAATTTTTCTTAAGCATCCTATCTGAAACTTTAAGGTCAATATAGTGTCCACCAGACAAAGTTCTTCTTGACTCAGGTACACATTTCAATTAATAGCTGATAGCTACTAAGTATCATCCTAGGGATGGAGGCGAGAGTCTTTAAAAAACAGTTTTGATACACAATGAAATTTGAGCATGGAAGTCTGTGATGGCATGGAAGTGTTTCAACAGAACAACTTGGAATCTGGGACTAGTGAGGACAAAATGAGGGGAGGAAACTGGTGTTAGCATAGGGGGATCCTCTGTGAGAGAGACGTGAACATGAGGAGGACTCAGAGGGACTCCCTATGGTCAGTCACTCAGATGCACAGTAATCCATGGAGAAGTTAGTAAAGACAGGTATATAGAAAGGTAAGCTCCCAGAGAATAGATAGATGGGATGCTTTAAGTTAAGAAACGCTGACTGGACACAAACCATGCTAAGGTCAGAGCCAGAATGAGACTCTGAATTTATTTGGAAGCTGGATGGCAGGCCTCCCAAAGGGCCAAGCAGTAAAGATACAACCTATAACAGAATTTCTGACAGATTTCTTGGAGGCTGAAGCACACACTTCATGTAATGACTGATGGTTAGTAAGTGGCATCCTTGGGAGGAAAGTGAGAGTCTTTAGACATAGTTTTGTATTACAATGAAATGTAATCATGGAAGTTGAGGATGGTGTGCAATTGTTTTGAATGGAACAACAGGGAAGTGTGTGAGACACATGTAATCCCTTTTCCAATGTCCTTAGATACAATGGATTTATTCCTGTCACACAAAGTACAATCAGTGTGGCCATCAAAACAATGAACTTTGCTTCTATAGTCAACATTTTTAAAGCTTGATGTGGGGAAAAAGAATGAACTTTGACATTGAAGACAAGGATTAGGCAGGACTTCTGCATTTTATCAGTAGATTGAATGAAGTTTCTCTGATTTCCCATGCACTGAGTGTTCTAGATTCCTGCATTGGGTCTGTCTCTATGTGCTGTGAGCATGGAAAAGTTAACCTCTCTCTATAGACCTTGTGCTCTGGAAAGAGGTGGATCCTTTGTTCCATAAGAAGAGGAAGAGGTATGTGTTGTGGCACAATATCTTTGTATACTGTGACAATGCGTCTTTGTGAAGGTGTTTTCTGTTTGGTTTAATAAAGAGCTGAATGGCCAATAGCTTGGCTAGAAGAAGTTAAGTGGGACTTCAGGACAGAGAGGAAGAAGAAGACATGAATCTAGGTGAGGAGAGATGCCAGAGGATACAGGGACCAAATAGGAGGTGCATGATGGAAGACAGGTAAAAAGCCTTGAGGAAAAACATAGATTAATATAAATGTGTTAATTTAAGTTATAATATCTAGTAGGGCAAGCCTCACAAGTTATAGAGTGAGCTTTTATAATTAATAAGTCTCTATGTCTTTTTCTTGTGAGCTCCAGGCCAAAAGAAAAGTCTGTCTACATGAGTGGCCTGTGTAAGTGACAATGAAATAAGGGAGGTCCGTAGAAGAAAATGACTGAAGCTGAGGCAGGGCCCTACCCTCTTCTCAGTGTCCATGTCAGGAAAAGAAACCTTTTTGGATTTCCAAGGCCTCCATGACCCCCTCTTCTTCAGTGCCCACTCATACTTGGAGCTGAATTCTGGGTGCCAGTTCGTCTAGGCTCACCATGCTGACACTCATGGTTTCCAGTTTCTCTTTGTGACAAATTCGACTTTTGCATTGCATTGCCCAGAGGGAACATTACTAGTCTGTGACTCTGAACCTTCCTCCATGGCTTCTCTGCTTTTATTTAAGTCCCTTATTCAGGTTCCCATACTGGTGGGGACCTGTATGTTGCAAACAACCACTACCTAAGTGAATCTTAAGTTCCTTTCACACCTCCAATTTCTGTTCATCTTTATTTCTGCACCACAGACTGCTCAAGTTCCCACTTTACATGTTTTTTTTTTCAATCCGTGAGTGACTTGAGATTCAAGGTCTAAACCCAGTAGTTCTGGTGAGAAGATCTGGCTAAGGAATTCCATGTTAAGACCCCTGCCCCTCTACCATAGCCTGAAATGAGGAAGAATGGGCTCTGGGGATGAAACAGTTATGTGGTTGTCAGAGAGGCAGAGGTAGGGGTCAGGAGAGCAAGCCTGGCGTCCTTCCTGTGTACCCTCACAGCCTTCTTCACAGTCACTTGGGAAGAATGATGCTCTCAGAGTTCCTGCTGTGAAATGGTCCTGCTCTGGGACCATGGAGCTCACACATCTGTTCTGTCTCTACACTAGTCCTTGGTGGGAGTCTCTAGTCTTCTCTGTGAGCCTCAGACCCCTCATATGGGGCTCTGAGCTTCTGTCCCACAGGGTTGCAAACAACAATGATAACAGCAGCAGCATTTGCATGGACTTGAACTTAAAGCACTGGAACATTAATTGAATATTGTGCTGCTTCATATTCAATGTGGATTATCACTTTACTACCACAGCCCAAGGAAACAGGTTTTTACCCTCTTCTTGTTTCCCAGATGGAGACTTAGAGGCTGAGGTCTCTAAAGTGACTTGTCAAAGTGGCATTGCCATGCCTGGAGTCTGCCTCTGCCCAGCTCGAAAGGCTGACCTTGTAACTCAAGTGTTACCAAACCCTTCTTTTGGGAGCTGGCTTGAACCCTGTGCTCACCCCTCTTAAAGCCATTCTGAGTGCCAGCCTCTCCCCACTTCTGCATCTTCAGAGTGCTCCTCCCCAGGGCCCTGAGGATGCACTTCTGCAGAAGAGGGTGGGGCACTCAGGTTCACTTAGGGGTTTCTACATGTCTCCTGCGTCCAGACTCTCCTGGACTTGTGAATGTTTCTGCCAGAGGTTCTCCTGCTATGGAAGCATTGACAGGGGAACTCAGTGGTGTGAAGTGGTCACAGTAGTTGTGGGTTGGGGTCCTTGGTGTACTTACTTAGCATCAATTCCTTCTCTGCCTCGGATTTGATCTCCTGCAGTTCCAGGTCCATCTGCTTCCTCTTGTCATGGGTGGGGTCCAAGACCTGTTGACCCTTATGCTGAGCCTCCTCAGTGCCATCCACTGTCTTGGGCTGGGCTTCTTCCATGGTGACAGAGCTCTCAGACGATGCTTGGCTGTGCAGCTCTCACACTGGTCCTGCTTCACTTCTCCCTTCTGTTGCTGCTCCAAACAGGAAGCAAGGGAATTCTTGTCTCTGATGGCTGTTTCTGCTCTTGGAAAGGGTGCATGATCAGGATGGAAAAGCGTAGGAAATAAAAGAAAGTGCAGAGTAGTGTCTACAGGGACAGATTGTCCTCTGATCAGGACACCTGAAGGATTGAGGTCTCTCCTGGGGATGGAGACTGTGTGTCCAGGAGCAGGGGCTTGGGCTTTATAGGTCAGAAGAAGGAACTCTCTGAGGAAGGTTTATCAGTGGATGTGTCTTTTATAGTTTCATGAATGGTGCCATCGGCTGTTTTCTACTGTGTTGCCTCTCCTGTTAGCAGGTGTGCTTATCATTAAGCTAAGTTGGGAGGGGCACTCAGCTTATCTAAACTTTCTTCTTTTTGGTCATTAAGTTCATTTATCTGATCCTGAGGAGCAATGAAAAGAAGGGGCATTTAGCCTGTCATTGTCTGCTTCCTGCAGGAGGGGGTTGATGGTGGTGGGGCTAGGTTCTATCCCTAGGGCAAAGGTTGGCTTGATTTCATGAACCAGGAAAATAGTACTAACTTGATTTGATGCAATGAATCATGTTGTTGCTGTCATTCACTCCTGGAGACACCTTTGCAAACAGCTAATATACAGGGGCTACAGTGAGTAAGGTGAGACTGAAGGTAAGGGAACCAGTCAGCCCCTAGCTAAGGTTGTCATTGTTTTCATGTGGACCTGTGATGACAATGATTTTATCTAGGAGGAACTTGTGAAAATCTTTTAAAGTACAGTTTAAAAATGGCAAATAAAGATAAAGAGGAGTGGAAAGATCTAGGGGAGGAGACAGAGTGGATGGAAGGAAAGCCCATCCTTAGGAAGATGACTGTCACTGAATCATTGTCTGGTTCTTAGTTAAGTCTTTGGCCATCTCGACCAGCTTGGGTTTGTTGGTGCAGAAGTAGCACTGTTCCTGGATGAGGGCACAGATCCCACCATTAGCAGCTGACAAGAGACCTATGCCTCTTTAAATTTGAGAACCACAGCAGCAAACACTTGGCTGAGGCCTCGCCATGGAAAGTGATGGAGAGGGAGGAGTGGGAAAGTGGGCATCTGGAAAATGGAAGGTTTGAAATGTAGGAATGGGAAAGTAAGTAGATGGAAGGATGTAGGACATGGAGCATGGCAGCTCAGAGGATTAGAGGATGCTAATCAAGAGAAGGGTTGGGGATGGAGGAAAGGGGTGTTGGGATTACAGGGACAGGAGCACGAGAGGATATGAAGACAGGGATGGAATGTGCAGGACACTCACTACTCCGTGTTCCTCATCCTCATCCTTTTCTTGTGTTCCATTCTAAGGAGATCATTTCTTCATCTATTACTGTGACAGAGGGTGATGTAGGGAGAGGCAACACAGTGGGGATTCAAGAGTCCAGTCTGAGTTCAGGCTAGACCCTGTGAAGGAATCTTTAGATGTCTCCTGTCACTAGCATCACACACAAGAAACAAGCCAGAGACAACTAAGTCAGGAGGGTAAATTACTATAAAAAACCAAAAAGCCCCATGGACAATATTAGGGGTTAGGCTGACCCAAGACTTTCTCAGAGGCTTGATGAAAGGACAAAGGGAACATTTGATCTGTCTCCTTGTCCCAAAGTGGACTTCCCAAGGCTGGCCTAATGTTGGAGCTAGTACACTGCAGGAATGGAAGTTGTAGCTTCTGGGGGATTCAACTCTTCCCCCCTGGGCTGTGGTTATCAGTCCTAAGTCAGAAGTGTCTGAGGGATCCTGTTATTTTTTCAAACATTGTCTGACTTAGCTCTGTGCTGATCTTGGCTACCTTCCCTTGCAAATAGCCTATATGATGCTGTACTTTTTAATAAATTTGCATGACACAAGTCTCGAGATTATGCAAGACTTGCTTTTCTCAGCTACTGCTTTTGTCTTCTTTATTTTTCACTCCTCTTCCTCCCTCTTAATACCTCACTATTAATGGCCCTTACTCCTGCAGCTTCAGGTCAGACAGGAGAGAGGAGGGTGCAGGATAGGCTATGACAGGAGGAGACACATGAAGCATACAGGTGAATTCAGCAACATCACACCCACCAGATTTGGGCATTAGAGTCTCCAAGCAGGTGCTGGAGCCTAAGCCCGGGATACCAGCATGAGGTCCCTGTCTGTTACAGCATGTCTCAGTGGGGTCAGGCCAGCACTTATCTTCCCCCAACTCAAATGGTTTGGTGGACTCTGTTAGTCCCAGAACTCACCTGCTCCTCCACTGGGCACACTAATGTGTGTCTTCCTGGCCAAGGCTCCTCAGCTAGAAACCATGTTCTGTGAAAGTGAGAGACTCTGGCTCCTCCAGGAAATCAGGCATCAGAGTCTGCGCAGATGCTCTTCTTCTGAGTTCTGGGAATGGAGGTTGAATATTACCCCTCTCATTTCCTTTGTGAAGTTGCCAGTGCCTGCTCCCGGAGAGTCAGATTCCTCCAGGCCTGCAGAGGCCCCGCCTCCTGAGTCAGGACTGCTGTCTGAGCCTCACTTCACTCATCTCTAAAGTGGGGCCTCCCAGGTTTGCCACAGGTCCCAGTTCAGCAGAAGCTCCTGGATCTCCCAGATTTGTGGATCTCGGCAGTTTCCTTCCTCCCTGAAGCCTGCTCAGCCCACAGGCTCTTCATTTCAGGGAGTGGCTCTCAGGCCCCAAACCCTGGGTCATTTCTCAATTCTGGATTCTCCAAAATCTTAAATCTGGTATTTGGTTCTCGACAACATTTTTTTTTTCTGTAAGAGTGTGGTGTGTGTGCATGTTTGTGTGTACGTGGAGTCACATGTGTGGGCATGCTTGTGGCCTGAGACCTTATGGATTTGTTAGGTCTAGCTCGTCATCCAGATGGGGGTGCTCCCTGTTTCCTCCTCCTGAGCTCTGGGATTACAAGCCTTAGCCACGCCCAGCAGGCATCTGTGAGGATGCTGGGGATGAGAGCACATGTCCTCATGCTTGCAGAGCAAGTGCTTTATCCTCTGAGCCAACTCCCCAGCCCTCACACTGACTTTTAACAGATCTATAATCTGACAGCTGGTCCAGCCATCATCCTGGGTTTCTGCTCCAGGTTCCTAATTCTTCCTGCTGATGCTTTATATTCGGTGTCTAGAGGTAAGAATCACAATCTAATATATAAGTTTATTTTAAATTACCACTTTATCTCTATCTTGAAATCCTCTCTGTCTTACTCTGAAAGACACACTGTTTCCTTGAACTGGGTCACTAGACTCTACATGGCCCGACCCCTCCACCCTGCTCTATTTGTGTCGTTAGATCCTATTTCTCACTTTTCACTCAGTCTCTTGTGGGTCATCTGCTCTACCTTCCTTCTGCTCCACATTCCTTGAACCCACCAGGAATGTGTTCACCTCAGGACCTGTGCACTGGCTTCACCATTCTTTTGGAATGACTTTCTACTAGGTAGAAGCTTGCTACCCCCTTTCTGAAGCAGCACTGCCCTTACAAAACTTACCCTCCTTTATTCTTTGGTTTGACGCTTGCTACCACCTATTAGCACAAACTTGCTGTCTTCTGACACTTCTACTTCAAATAGAATGGAAAATCTGGGAATACAGGACTTAGCATATTTGTTGATTTTCATGGTCCCTGGTCCCAAGTTATTGTCTGACCCAAACATCAGAATAAAGGTCCTCACAGTCTCTGAGAGCTGGTTATTTCTTGATATTAACATTTATTTATTTGTGTTGTGTATGTGGTGTGATACATGATATAAACATGAGTAGAGCCCATGTGCAAGTCACAAGATAACATTCAAGAGTCAGTTTTCTCCTTTCACCATGTGTAAGCCTGTGACCCACGTCACAGCATCAGGCTTGGTGACAGGTGCCTGTTGTGTGAATCTCTTCCTGGGAAAACATGATTGACACAGGAGGGCCATGCTCATTGTGGGCAGTGCAATACCCAAGGAGGTGGGCCTGGGTTGTTAACAAAGCAGACCTAGCAAACCCAGGAGAGCAAGCCAGGAAGCAGCATCCCTCCTTGGCCTCTGCTGTAGTGTTGTGGTAAAATACTCCCTGATACGATATATTTTTAACATTCAGACCACTACAACTTCTACCTACAATGATTAAGAATTCCTCTTTCTCCATGCCCACAGCAGCGTTTGTCTTTTTGTTGTTTTGTGAATAGTCATTTTGTCTGTGCTGAGACACCATTGTGGTTTGAGTAAAAATGACTCCTCAGCTCATATGTCTGGATACTTGTCTTCAGTTTGTACAACTGTTTGAAGAGGATTTGAAGTGTGTCCTTGTTAGAGGAGGTGTGTTACTAGGGGCTGGCTTTGAGGATTCAAAATCCCACACAGGTCTTGTGCTCATGGATAAGGGTGCAAGCTCTCAGCTACCCCTCCAGCACTGTGCCTGCCTGCTTGCTGCCATGCTCCTAGACAAGATGGTCAGTGTCTCCATCCATGAATGCCAAAGGACATCTTTCAAATTTCATGTGGTTCTTTTTTTCAATTTTTCCCATTTTCTCTATCATTAGAGTCCTCTTCAGAGAGGCTTTGACTCTGCCTGCGTCAGGAAGTGCTTGTCCTACTCTCCCTATAGCAGTTCCAGGAATTCATGACCTGTGTTAATGTCTTTGGTGCACTCAGAGTTAGTGCACTGCAGGGTGAGGGGAGAGGATCATTCTTCTGCATGCAAGTATCCAGCTCTTCAGCCCCATTTGTTAGTAAGGCTTTCTCTTTGCTGATTAATAAATATTAATGCTAAGTAAGTACACCAAGGATCCCAACACACTACTGTGACCCCTTCATCACCACTGAGCCCTCCTGTCAGTGTTTCCATAGCAGGCTAACCTCTGGCAGAAACATTCACAAGCCCAGAGGAGTCTGGACCCAGGAGACATGTAGAAACCCTAAGTGAACCTGAGCGCCCCACCCTCTTCTGCAG